TTTGTCCTTGAAGGTAACTGAGTTACAAAGGACTTGCCAACAATGGGTCTGGATCTTCTGCTAATCGTTATCATCAGAGTCCATGAGTTGTGTGAAGAAAGGTGTGATGGCCTACTTCTGAAAACCAGCCACTCAAAAACCCAGGGAGCTCTGATGCATTTGGGGTCGTCTTGAGTTGGGATCTACTGAACAGCACCTGGCAGTCATCGTCATCGTCATCGTTAGAAGAAGGGGGCGTTCTTTGTTGCCTAGGCAGGGCCAGCTGCTGCCTGAGGACACCCCCTACACCATAGCTCAGGAGTCCAGTTCTAATCCTTTATTGAGGAACTTTGGGTGGAAAGTGGATGAATCTGGGAATCCCTCCAGAGGCAGCAAGGAGAGGAGGTACTTCCTGTCAAGGCTCAGTTCCCCAGCAGGACAGAAAGAAGGATCTTGCTCTTGGAAAGCTGTCCTCTTCTTTGCTCAACTTTGTAGAGGGGTTGCCTTCTTGTTCTGGTAGCAGTTTCCTTCCAGCATTGCTGGACAAGCTTCAGGGCAGCAGGCGGCACTTCAGACAGACCCTATCCTGATGCCAAGTCCCCACCTCAACTCCTCCAATCACTCCCCATTTCTTGTTTCTTCTCAGGCTCTATCCTGAGATGGGGGCAAATTAGAGGAAGTGAACCAGTAGAAATTCTATCATGGGCTGCTCCTCACATATCCACTCTCCCCTTCCTTCTAGTTCTTTTCTTTCCATGCCATCCCTATCCAGGACATCCCATGCATAAAAGTGAATTGGGATCATATAGAATAAAAGTAGGACAGTCAGGTTGCTGGGCTCCAGCCCTGACCTCTAGTACAGTGCCTTCCTTCCACACCCCTAGCTGGACTCTCCTTTGGACACTCCATGTTGAGGTGGGAGATGAGACCTTAAGGGAGGGAGGTGGCCATCAGTACTGGTGTGCTGATGGACCACAAGGGACACCCCCTTCTCCTCCTGCCATCAGACTAAGGAACTTTACCACTTTGTCCCTTCTGGGGACCAAGTGGCACAGAGGTGGGGAAAGCAGAGTTGGAAAGTTAAGCCTACAAGATGTATTGCACAGTGACCAGTTCTTATAAGGCTGGCATAGGATTGAACAATGGTTTGTTTATTTTATTTTTGTTTCTGAAGTGGTATTTATTTAATTTTTTTCCTTTTATTATTTGTGTGTGTGTGTGTACCGTCAAATCGGATCTGACTTGTACAGGAGGAGATTGTTCCTCCTTCTCCAGCAGAGCACACATCTGGGATTGCAGTGCAGCTTCTTGCCACTAGGCCACCAGAGCTCGCCTGAAGTGATATTTATTAACAAGGCAGATAGCATGTTTACCTACAGTCATTTCAGCCACTGCACCTAAAGGCAAACAACTGACTGGGTGGGTAAAGGACTTGCTTTATGTATATACACTTCAGTGCTATTAGAAAATACTGTAGAGTTCAGAATTTAAATAGGTGAAGTGACCTCCTATTTGAAAATGGGAACAGAAAAAAATTCCGTTGCTCTTGTCTTAGACCACTCTGGTTTTCATAATTTAGACAAGACAAGCTTGGTACAGATGCAGAGTTCAGCCTTTGAAGGAAGACGTGCCAGCTCGCATCTCATTGCACAGGAAGATGTTAGCAATCACAGGGCAGGAGTGAAGCAGCTGTTTCTTTGCACAGTAGTTATCCCGTACGCCTGCTTCTGCTGCTACCATGGGCTCACCTGTGTTCAAGTCAACACCCACATGTTGACTGGATTCTGAATGCTCTGCTTGAACCTTGACTAGTGTTTCCTGAAGGTCAAAACCAGAATTCTGAGCAAGAACCTTGGGAATAATGAGCAGTGTGTTCAGCAAACGCCTGGATGCCAAGTTGGGCCCTGCCCTTGACAGTGGACTTGGGCTTCATCAGAGCTCCGGCCATGGCCACTTACACGGCACCAGCCCCTGGGACCACACAGCCATCATCGATGGGATGGCGTTCTTGACAGCCCTCAAGCCGTCTGTGATGATATCTTTTATCTGAGTGAGCGTGTGTTTATTTGGCCCTTTGAGGGTTGTTGCATTTCTTGATGATGGTGAACTTCTTCCCCAAGGCGTCCTCATAGCCAAGGCCTGCATCCCCCAAGCAGTATGGATTCGTGTCCTCTAAAGAATTGAGAGACACTCCACCACAGGCAAGAGTCAGCCTCTACACATTCCTCCGCTTAGCTCTGCACAGAGCTACTATGTCTTCTTTTGCAAGAACATCTAAGGAAAAGGGATCAATATCCTTTTGATTAATAACAACAAATCTTATATTTGAATCACCACAGACTTTCTTTTTCAGATCTATGATTTTTTTTTAACTCTATCTTCAATGACTTTTCTTTCTGCTTTTACAAGTATCTCTCACTCTTCTGTGCTCTTGTAGAGGAAGCCCGAGTTCACTTCTGTTTTTTCATATTCCTATGACATATTGCCGGTGAGGATGTGTGCATCTTCTACTCTCATCTTTCTATCAGGATGCCGTGCCCCATGGTCCAAAACAAGCCCTCAGATTAAGCTTGTATCAGTTTCAGATTTATGTTTCATCTCCATTTCAACCATGAAAAGGTCAATAGGTTCATCTTGTTTTTTAATGGTCAAAATACAGTCGAAAGCTTCTGTTAAGACATCAGCGAGTTCAGCGTGAACTTTAGTGTGCAGGGATGCCCTAACCACGTCTATGAGTGTCTCTCTGTCCATCTCTTTGCTTGCTTTGATTTGTTCCAAAAATTGAAGTGCCTTTTCCTTTGCTGCTTCAAATCTTCTGTTAGTATTCTGGGATGCAAACCTTCAGAAATGTAGAGGTCCGCCTGTTTAAGCAGCTCCTTGATAATCAGAACGTTGGAAGCAGTCCCGTCGCCAGTGATGTCGTCCTGGCCTGTCACTCCTTTTGCCGTCAAGGAGGCTGTCGGGTGTTGAATTTGCATGTCACAAAGCAGTACTTTGCCATCAGTAAGCCTGATGCCTCCAGCATTAGAAACCAGCATCTTCATGCCATTGGGCCCAGGTTGGTCCTCAGCATGTCCTGCAGGCCCCAGGCCACACTGATGTTCACTGCAAGCACAACCTGGGCTCAGGCCACTTCAGCCTTGGGGTTCAGAGTCTTCACGGCTGACATGATGGGCACAGTAGAAATAGAGGATTATGCCATGTGTGTGGACACCCCAAGGCTGGGAAGCATGGACGGTAGGCAAGATCTGGAGCCTTCTGGACAAGTCATGCCCGCCCAGCCCCCGACAGTGTTTTACATACTTTAAATAAGGTTGCTATGAGTTGGAAGCTTGGTTTGACCTAATAACAGCACTCATCCATTTCTCTAACATGTCTCCCAGTCTAACCCAACTCAATGGTTCTGGAGGCTTTGGAAAAAATCCACATTCCTCTAGTTAGTGATAATCAAAATATTTAACAACTTATCTAATATGGACATCAACCAATCAGGATGGAGCATTGCAGCCAGGCCCTGGAGGCCTTTTGCTCCTGTTACCTCTAGTTGCTGGACCAGATGATATAAGGGCAAATCCTGGGAAAGAGACGTGCAAAGATCAGGCAGCAAACCATGTGATAGTAGTTTGATATTTTAACCACTCTGTTATACCAGGAAGTACAGCAGCCATCTCTCTGTCCCTTTGCCTTTACCACCGTCAGCCTGTCTTCCTGTTCTGCAGCCATCCTTCCTCCTCCTCCTCCTCCTCCTCCTCCTCCTCAGACAAATGTTGCACTTTAGTAGCTCTTTGCCCATCAGGGCCACCACTTGCAAAGGAGTAGTGTTACTGAACTAGACCTCAGAGAGCAAGGCCAGTCCCAGCTCTGCTGCCCCCTCAGCTGTGTCCTTGAACTAGTCACTCCATTTCTCAAAGCCTAGATTTCATCTGTAAAATGTAATATCTGCATGCAGGGTGAAAACCCCTAAAGGGTGGTGGTGTGTGTGTCCCAGATGAAATCAGGATGAAAATGTTGAGAGAAGAAAACAAACTACCCTTTCCCTGTGGCTCTAGAGATAGCCCACCTTCATCTCTCTGAAAGTAGGGTCCTCAGTCCAGGGCAGAACCTGCTCCTGCCCACCCTCTGCGCTCCTACTCCTCCAGCTTCAAGGCACAGGCCCAGGTGTGAAGAGAGATGCTCTTGAAGGAGCAACCTGAGGGCCCAGGACCATCAGAGCATTCACACCATCATCACCAGCAATCAAGCAGGCTTCCTGAAGGAGGGGGCAGACCTGACAGAGGGCTTGCCAACAGGACATGACAAGTGAGAACTAGGCAGGCAGGAAAGAAGGACTTGTTATTCACTCCACTCGAGTACCAGCTATACAGTTCTACAGCCATCAGAGCTCAAATCCTGGCTCCTTCACTTTCTAAATGCATCATCGTGGCCAGGTTACTTCACTGTTGCATCTCTATTTCTCAGGAGTAAAAAGCAGAGGTGAAAAATAATATATCTGTTTCATAAGATTGTTGTGAAGATTAATGTATAATTGTTGTGAAAATAATGTATAAATGATAAATACTTAGTGCATTGCCCAGTGTATAGCAAGCGGTCAATATTTGGTTGTTGTTATGTATCATTGAGTCAGAACTGAACCATAGCTGACCCTCCAGTGGGTTTTCAGAGGCAGTAAATCACACAAGAGGAAGCTGCCTATCTTTGTCCTGCAGAACAGCTGGTGGATTGAGCCCATTTATGTGTATGTGTGTGTGTGTGTATATACGTACGTGTGTGTGTACTGTCAAATCAGATCTGACTGGTACAGGAAGAAATTTTTCCTCCTTCTCCAACAGAGCATCTGGTGGATTCAAACCACTTACCTCTGGAATTGCAGTGCAGCTTCTTGCCACTAGGCTACCAGAGCTTGCCTCAGCTGGTGGATTCGAATTGCATGCCTTGGGGTTTGCAGCACAGCACCTTGCCAGTACGTCACCAGAGATCTCAATATTTGTTAGCTTTTAATAATCAAAATATCCTGGCCGTAGGCCACCCTGCAGAAACTGAAGGCAGAGGAGTACGTTCAGCAGAAGAGGGAGCTGCTGGCCCTCTATCGCGATGGCGACCGAGACCGGGAGTCCCTGGGCACCAGGCCCTCCACTCCTTCAGGCACCAGGCTCTCCACTCCTTCAGGCACCAGGCCCTCCACTCCATCCCAGGAGGGCTCACAGAGCAGCACAGAAGGGAGGTAAGGAGGCAGACTGTAGGCTACCAGGGAAGAGGAGGAACTGGGAGGCTGATAAATGGTGTTCTAGTTTTGGGGAAGATTGCAACTAAATGGCAGATCAGGGGCTATAGAGTGGAGTCAAGTTGGTTGACACCAGCCAAGTGAAAGGTTGCATGGGGTGGTCTATACAGTCAGCCAGTCTAGGGGTAGCGCAGAGTAAAGGAAATGACAAGTAACAAGAAGTCCCTGAGAAGAACAAGGTCACAGGACCAGGGCCAGATGGTGAGTGTGAGTGTGGACTTTCGCAGAATGGTGGGAGTTGGAGGAATGCAGCCAACCCAAATCCTGAAACCCACAGCAGTGAGAGGGTGGCCTGCATTTATGCAGTTGCTGGGCAGCGAAGTTAATATGCAGAAGAAAGACTCCATATCTGGCAGAGCGCTGACATACAAGGTGGCTCAGGTGCTATGGTGCAAAAGTCTTTAAGCTTACAGTCTAGCTATGGATTGAGAAAAATATCCACACAAAACTAAACGAAAATGATACGGGGTGGGAGGAAGCCCAGAAGGGCCACTTCTGGAAGAAGTAGTCAAGGAGACATTGTGGGTTTGAACTTGCTCCCTGGACCTCTGACTCTGACCATTTGATCTGATTTGCAGGACTCTCGAGTTCTCGGTTATCATCCCTCATCTGGTAGTGACGGAAGACACCGATGAAGACTCTACTTCTGTGCTAGATGATACCTCAGACTCTGGCTATGGCACTTTGATCACAGCCTCCCCCAGGAGCCCCCGGTCCCCACTGAGCCGTCTCCGCCACCGGGTCCTTCGGAGGGATCCTCGCCTCACCTCCTCCACCATGGACCTGCGAGACGTTCCTTTGCGGCCCCAGCCCTCAGACTCCCAAGCTCTCCAGCGTCGCAGCGCTCCTGACCTGCCTGCGGAAGGCATCCAAAGAGGAAGCCAGCTTCCCCAGGGAGACACTCCCACCTGGTCTGAGGAGGAAGATGGGACCTCAGGGGGCGGGAATGTGGTGGTGGAAACCCTGCACAGGGCCCAACTGCGGGGTCAGCTCCCTTCCTCCCCCGCCCACGTTGACTCTGCTGGCGAGAGCCCTTGGGACTCCTCAGGGGATGAAGAGGAGGGGTCTCTCTCGCTGAGGCGAAGGCAGCCCCCCTCCCCACGTCTCCTCCGGGCTGAGAACATGCTCCAAGAGGGCATGCTCCGAGAGGACATGCTCCGAGAGATCCGGGAGGAACTGGCCAGTCAGAGGATAGACGGAGCCCCAGAACCGAGGAGCAGCAGGCCTCGGAAGCTGACGCGGATGCAGCTGCAGAGGATGCGAGGGACTCACATCATACAGCTGGACACGCCACTGTCCACATCGTAAGTGGAGGAGGGAGGAGAGGGCAGCCCAGAGTTGGGGGCCACGGGAGGACAGCGTCCTGAGTCCCACCCATCACCCCTCAAATGACCCTCGTCCTCTCACTGCCCCTGGCTTTTGCCTGACAGCTACTTCCTTTCTTTTCAGAGAGGTGTGAGGGACACCGCGGACTTTTGGCCTTTCTCCCAGAGGAAACCTCACCCCAAGGGTGCTGGTCACCACCCCACCCCTGGACTCTACCTCAGAGACCACACCTCCTGCTAAGAAGCCTGACCCAAGCACCCTGCCCTTACTTCCTCTTTGAACTGTGGGGATCAAGGACTATAAATATGTCTGAGACACACTTGAGCCCCATATAAAGTTGTGCATGAAAACGACTCCCCAGAGCTAAATGAGGGCGGGAAAGAGCACGATATGGGGGTGGGTCTCCGTGAACAATGTCTGTTTCTCTGATGGAGGGCCATGGGAGATGGCAGGGGCTCCAGCCATTTTGTGAGCCGTTGAGTTGACAGTGATTCAGTGACTATGTGCAAGAGCAGGCTGCCCCATAGGTTTTTGCTGGGCTGCCTTTATGGAGGCCAATCACCAGATCATTCATTCTGGAGCCACACTGATGGGCTGGCAGCACCCCCCTTTTGGTTAGCAGCTGCAGGCTTGTTGAGCACCTAGCTCAGGGCTCTCCCATCCCACCCATCAGTCCCTGCCCAGCCACACCAGACCACGCACTCCCTCCAGGAGCAGAATTTTAATTGCATCTTCTTGTATTTACAAGAGTCCAGCTCCAAGTCGAAGCCTCTTTGTCCTGTGTTTGTCCTGCCTTCATTACAATTCAGCTTACTCTGTGCTTGTCCAAGTAGGGGGCTAGGGTACCCGCTTTCTATTAGTGTAACATGACTGATACAAAATTGCTTATCTACTGTGTAAAGGGCTCAGGGATCAACCAGGCACTCCTAAACAGCCTCCTGGGGGCTGCAGACCCCAAACAGGCATGAAATATGATGCCCTTATCCCTGCAACCAACACACTTGGGCTCACTACACACTCTCACCTTCACAATATCTCTCTCTCTCTTACACATATACACACACACGCGCGCGTGCACACACACACACACACACACACACACACACACATCCTTCACATGCACAGCTGAGAAAAACTATATACAATGAGTGGGTAGCACCAAGTCAGTGGCTGCCAGCTCTTGGCTGCCCTTCTACAACCCTTCCTCTCCAGATTAAAAAAAACAAAAGGCGTCGGGAGGATGGTCCAGAGGGCATTTCCAGGACAGTCTTTCCTGGGCTGCCCTGGAGCAGATAGTCCTGGTCACAAGGGCAGGCCCCGCCCCGGGGGCAGTGGGCATGGCCTCACCGGGAAAGGTGGGGCGGGTGTGGGAGCAGGGCAGAGGCCTGCAGCTTCTCCTCAATGTCCTCCAGGCAGCCACGCAGGTCCATGTCGCAGAGAATGCGGCCCAAAAGCTCCATCGTGGCTTCACGTCGTGGGATCCGGCGCCGCCAGGCTTCCAACATGCTGTAGTGCGCCTCGCGCAGGGAACCCCTGTTCTGCAGCTCCAGCCGCTCTATCTCATGCTCATTCAGCCCCAGTCGCCGGATGAACTCCTTCCAGCGCAAAGGGGGCACACCATCCACCACTGCGTACAGTGTGGCTGGGTTGGCTGTGGGGGAAAGCAGGACTGTGAGCAGAGCTAGCCGGAGTCCCCACCCATTGGTTCCCTCCTGTGCTCGCCAAGAGTTCCTCCTGAACCCCTCAGCTAGGGGACAGCTAGGCACTCACCATCTGGGAGCGTGTGTGCGCCATTCTCTGCCTTCTGAGGAGGGATGGAGAGCAGAGTGGAGTTGGGGGCTGCACTGAGCATGGGGCCAGCCTCCTGGTAGAGAGGGGCCTCCTTTCTGGGAAATAATTCATTCCTGGAGTTGGTCCCGTTACTGAAGTAAAAAGTGTGCTTGGGGGTGAGACTGAAGCCTGGGGTGGCACTGAAATCTGGTGCTGGGGACTTGGTAATAACGCCTTCAAACTCCCCCTGCAGGATAGAAGATACAGCTTTAGAGAGAGAGGAAGCACAGGATAGCCGGCCTGTGAGAGCAGATGGGGCTAGAGAGACTTAGGGGAGCTCCTCCCACCCACCCCCTTCACCCCCACCTCCTTGCTAACAGATGATTTAAGTATTTAAGGTAGGTATCCAATTTCATCTCACCTCTTTTACTGATTTCCCACAAACTGAAAGAGATAGGGGAGAGGAAAAAAGAAATGACACATCACAAATTTCACTTCCCCTCAAATCTCATTCACCCTCCCTTCTAATCCCTCCTGGGGATGGCTATGGAGACTTGTGGTGACATGCTTCAGGGCCTGTGTGAGCTCAGGGACCGCAGACCTGCTGACGCAGCACGGCCTCTTACCGCCCATGCAGTGCCACTACTTCCAGGAGCCCCTCTGTGGCCAACCTCTCATTTCCCTCCATGCTTGTCCATCAACCTGAAGTAGTCTCTCCCACATCCCCATGGATACCGTTTCCCCTCCCAAAGTCCTCACTCACCAATGGAGTAGAGCTTGGGCGTCCACCGTTGGTAGCGGCACATTATCCCCATGAAGAGGGAGAACAAGCAAAGACCAAAGAGGATCACTAGGGGCAACAGCACTGTGGTGCCTGGAGGCCAAGTAGATGATGGTCAGAGAGAAGACGGAGGCAAAGGGCAAGGATGGGTGAGCCTGAGGAGGAGAGCTGAGCTGGCTGTTTCTCCTCACCTGTGTCCTGAGGGTTCCTGATATTTTCACTTGTAGGTAGGCACAATTTCTTGCACTCCTGCTCCTTACACCTAAAAAATAAATAAATAAATAAATAAATAAATAAAAATTTTTTAAAATCCAGGTAACAATAAGGAGCAGCGTCTACCACAGGACACTCATCCCATTGCTGGCAAGTCAGAACCAACTTGTCGTTGATCTTGCAGTTGATTCTCCAAGGCCGTGCATGGCACGGGTGGAGATGCCCGTCTTTCTTCCGTGGAGTTACGGGTAGATTAGAACAGCCAGAGAAATACACTCATTGGGTTAGCAATAGAACTTGCTCCAGACTACCCCAGCAGAGTTCCCCAGCCACAGAGGGAACTTGAGGGGAGAAAGCCAGATCATTGAGAATTCTCTGCTTTACAAATATTTTAGCCTTAGTGGTGCATTTTGCACTGCTAACCAAAAGGCCTCTAGTCCTTGGCAGTTCAAATCCACCAACTGCTCCATGGAACAAAGATAGACAGTCTCCTCCCATTACGATTTATGGCCTCAGAAACCCCAGGAAGGATCACAAGTCGCAATCTATCAATGGCCGGAGCTCTTGATATAATGGAATTTGGCTAGGTAATTAGGAATCAATGCAGAGACATGAAATAGAGTTAACCACAGAATTGTTTCATTTTAGACCTGGAAAGGGTCTTTTTAAAAAACTGTAGGGGGTGGTTAGGAAGTAAGTTAGAAGAAGTTAGGTCAGCTCTCCACTGCAGCTCATTCATTGACTGTTGTTGTTTTCTGTTGAGGAGGAAGCAACACATAGCTGATCCTCCAGTGGGTTTTCCATACATCACACAGGAGAGACTGACCATCTTTCTCCCACAGCAGCTGGTGGATTCAAACCACATGCTTTGGGGATGATGGTGCCAACTCCTTACCCCTAGGCCACCAGAACTCCCCATTCACCGACTAGTGGTGTGAATCTAGCCGAGCCGTTTCACATCTAGTCCTCAATCCCCATATCAAAAAAGTAAGGATGATTCACTTCTCAGGACGAAGGAGTCAATGAGATAAATATGCTCAACATGAGGAACCAGAAACCGTTACTGTCGTGTCGATTCCCACTCAGGCTGGAGTGACCCTGTGTGTGTCAGGATAGAACTGTGCTCCCAAGGGCTTTCAGGGGCTGGTTTTGCAGAAGTAGACAGACAGTCTTTGTTCTGAGGCAATTCTAAGTGACTCAAACCTCCAACCTTTCAGCTAGCAGCTGTGCGTGTAAACTGTTTACACCTCCCACAGGCTCTGACGTGTTGCTAGGTGCTCTCAAGTCAGTTCCAACTCACAGTAACCCCGTGCACAACAGAATGAAACTGCCGGATTGTGCCATCTTCACAGTCGATGAAAACGGACGGACACATCAGAATGCTTGAGCCCACTGTGTCAACCCATGCTGATAAGGAACTTCCCCTTATTTTCTAACTCTCTACTTTTCCAAGCTGGTTCAGTTTCACTAAGGGCTGGTTTTCCCTGATAAACACGTTCCAAGTGTGAGGCTGTGTCACCATCTTCACTTCTGAGAAACATGCTGGCTGTACTACTTCCAAGATGGATTTGTTCATTCTTCTGGCATTCTGTGGTGTATCTGGTATTCTTCACCAACCCTATCCTGCTTGCCCACTTCACACCTTCACGTCATCCCTGAGAACCACAGGGAATGGGTACAAAAAACTTTAGCTTCTCAAAGTAAGCGTCATTATCTTTCCTTTAAAACTAAGAGAACTAAGGCTCAGAGATATTAAAGAACTTACTCCAAGTTACATAGTCAGTAAGTGGCTAGGCTGGATTTGAACCCAAATCATTTCACACTACAGGCAAAATTTCTTCTTTGTCCCACAATGGGAAGTCCTTTTAAAAAGCACATAGTAGGCCAGAAGGCAGGGAATGGCAGTGAGGAGGTTACTGATCTATGCACAAAGAAGGGAAAGGTTCACCTCTTGGAAAGATCTCTTTTAAACAGCTTCCAGAGGTACAGGTCAGAGTAACTCTCCACCAAGTTGGAGTGACCCTCCATAAGGTCAGGGTCACCCCCCCCATCAAGTCAGGGTGACCCTCCACTGGGTTTTCAAGACTCTAAGCCTTTCTGGGAAAGGTCTGCCCATACTTGTCTCTTGGCAATGAACCACTGGAGACACACAAACTTTGGGTCTGCAGCTCAGCACACCAAGGACACACCACCAGAGCACCTTATCCATATAAACAGGTGCGTCCTATAAAATGGGACTTGTGAGGGTAGTTTTTGTAAAGAGAAAAAAGTGAAATGAATAAATCAAGTCTTGTGCTCCTGTGTAACTTACCAATGGTCTGGCTGTATTTAGTCTAGCTGTGTTTTAGGCATCACACTGCTTTAAATATGGGAATGCTGGCAGTGGGAACTACAAGCACTGGGAGATGAAATCCTCTCTGTGAAAAACAATTCAGAAGGCTACTTAAGGGGCCACAGCCTGTACTGGAAGAGCACTGGATTTGGAGTGAAGGAAAAGATTCAGGTCCAGGATCTCGCTGCGAGATCTTGTTCTTGCCACTTAACCTTGCTAAGACTCAGTTTCTGCGTGTGTTAAAGAAAGCTAGAAATGAAGCCTGCCTTACCCTTTATCTGTTAGATTTGAGAGGATCAGATATGAAAATATGCATATGTTATAAATGACAAAAAAAACTACTAAATGGCTACTGGCAAAAGAGTTAAGCACTCAGTTGTATGCTGAACGGTTGGCAGTTCTCACCTATCCAGTGCTTCCACAGCAATCTGATTCTGTGAAAATCACAGTCAAGAAAACCCTATGAGGTAAGGGAGCTCTGGTGGCCTAGTGGCAAGACGCTGCACTACAATCCCATAGGTTGTTGTTGTTGTTGTTATGTGCCGTCGAGTCGTTTCCGACTCATAGCGACCCTATGCACAACAGCCCTAAACCCTGCTCTATCCTGCGCCAACCGC